GTCCTGCTTACAAGTTTTCTTTATTTTTGTTTACTCTCAGATACCTTCACAGACGGAGACTGTTTCATACTGGGCGATCGTGCATTTTGAAAGCAGAATAGCGCCTTATACTTTATAGGATTTGAGATCATTATAGAAACCTACAGAACAACAATTTATTTTTATTTATTTATTTATTTTCAGAACAACAATTTAATTGTGTATCTAAGCATTCATTCATCCAAGATTATCTTCTGAGATCTATTTGTCAAGCATTATTCTAGTGCTGAGTATACAATTGGGGAAACAAAAATCCAACTCTCCTAGAGTTTACATTTTACAGAAAATAAATACATTAAATAGATGTGAATATTCATAAACCCCATGGAGGAAAGAAACAGTGCTCTAGGATGGTAAATGTTAGTTAAGGTGGACAGGAGGTCCCTTAAGGCAAGTGACAATCTGCTGAGATCAGGAGACAGAGAAGGAGCCATTCAAGACCATTGGTAGAGGAAAACTAGTTTGCCAGGCACCGTAAGAGGCACGTGAAGACCTGAGCCAGGAAAGTAGGGGATTCTGTTGTTGGGTGCCATCGAGTGGTTCCCAGCCATTGTAACCCAACGTACAGCAGACTGAAACACTGCAGGGTCCTGCGCCCTCCTCCACAGACATTGTTCTGGTTTTGAGCCTATTGTTGCAACCACTGAGCCAATCCAGCTTGTTTAGGGGTCCCTGTCACTGTCCCTTTACTTTATCCAACACGATGTTCTTCTTAAAGGACTGATCTCTTGTGACACCATGTCCAAAGTACGTGAGACAACGCCTCATAATTCTTGGGTCGAAGGAGCATTCTGGCCATACTTCTTCCAAGAGAGATTTCTTGTTTCTTTTAGCAATCCATATTACTTTCAATTTCGCCAGCACCTAATTAGAAGCCTACGTATGTTGAAAATTGGACAGGAATAGTGTGAGATGAAATTGGAAAAGTAGATTGGGACCAGTGGGAAGCTACTGTATGGTTTTTAGCAGAATGGCATGGGCCAGTGTGGCTATTTAAGAGCTCCTTGTTGCAGGGATGGGATGGATGGATTAGAGAGGGTGTGTGAATAAACACTGGAAGCTTCGAGAGGAGACTGATTTCCTAGAAAGTAAAAATGTAGAATTAGACCAGTGTTTTGGCAATGGAAGTGGAGAGAAGTAGATCCCTCAAGATATATTTGGAGATGGAACCAAAATCTTCATGCACAATTCTCTTAAAGGAGATCATGAGGATATGCATTTAAAATTGAGGAATTCAGCTAATAAAGGAGGGAAGGTGGCATTTTGAGGAAGAACGGAATGGGAGAAGTTACACTAAATAACTTAATAGTTGTTAGACCCTTGGGGGTGCAAACAGGTAATGCTATCAGGTAATAATGGAAAGGTTTGGGTTCAAATTCACCTAAGGATGCCTCATAAAAAAAAAACCTCCTATTCTACTTCCCCAAAACCATCCCTTCAAAATCCTATAGAGCACAGCTCTATTTTAATGTATGTGGGAGCCCTATGCATCAGAATTGACGATCTAGTCAATTGGTTTAAAGTGATCATATTTACAACTTTAATCCCATGCCCTCCTCTGGGGTCTATTTTCTTAAGACAAGGTATTAAAACAAGAGAAGCAAAGTGCAAGAAGAACTGCTCTAAGAATTTCTAGTTTTAAGTGGTTGGGGTCGAACCTAACCCCCTGAAAAATGACCATGAAAAAATGTGGAAGATTTAACTAAGAGAATCTTCATGAGAAGCAGCAATTCTCACTCTAGCTGCACATGAAAATGCCTGGGGAGCTTGTAAAATGAGCTGCCCAGGCTGGCTCCATGGAACAAGTTTTGATTTCATTAGTCTGGGCTGGGGCCCGGGCATAGGTATTTTTTAAAAGCTTCTCAAAGGATTTTTTTTAATGAGTAGCAGGGTGGAGAGCCCTAAGTAAGAAGTACAGCTGAAGATGCCTCATCAATACACACACTCCACTAATAAAGGATGAATCGACTACAGCAGAGGCACTCCCTCCCCCGCCCCCAGATAAGAGCTATAGAGCCAGCGGTTAAACAATCAAGTTATCAGCGAGCCCAGACTTTCTGGAGTCACTGAAGCTGGAGGAGCCTCAAAAAAAGCCCTATTCCCTTGATATACTATTAAACCTTAAGCTAGAAATATTCTCTGAAGTCTTCTTTAACCCAGCACAATTTCACTGAATTAGTAAAGAGTGCCTGAGAATGTGCTCTGTTACAGAACTGCCTGTGTGGGATCAAACTGACAGCAGCCACTGGAAAGGTGAGATAGGAGACTTAGGTGAATAGAGGAGGACCCCATTGAACATAGGAGGTTGAGAACGGGCGTATAATGGAAAGAATGTAATCAGTCTTACTGAGTTGTACATGTGGTTGAATCAGGATATATTCTCAACAACAAAAAGCAAGATGCATCACTGAAAAAAAGGATCTCTTGCTGTTCTCCTGTATTTTACATGTTACATGTATTTTGTATTTGATAGTTTAGTCCTCTACTCTCAACCAGGCCACCCATATGAAGTGGCCCTAGTCATGCTGGAAACACTCCCAAGAAGCAGAAGAAGATGTGACATTACAAGAAAAAGTTGACTTGCCTGATATGGGCCATAGAATAAGGTCTGCAGCTGTGGTCGCCCACCAATTCAAGATAAAAGAATCCAATTTAAGGACGATTGTAAAGACCAACTGTGAAGCAACACTGCAGCTACCACCAGCAGACATGAACATCTTGCACTTTTTGTGAAATGCTTTTTTAATTTCCTACTGAAAATGCAGCTTTTATCTAAGTGTACGATACAATATATATGGCATACAAACGATGTGTTAATCTGTTTATGCTATCAGCAAGGCTCTGGTCAACAATAGGCCATTAGTAATTAAGTATGGGACAAGTCCAAAGTTACAGGTGGATTTTCAGCTGCATGTGGGTAGGGGTTGCACCCTTAACCACCACGTTGTTCAAGAATCATAATATAATATAATCATAAATATATAACAGAGGGCTTCAAAAAGTTCCTAGAAATTAGCAAACTGTGGCAAAGAATATAGATAGTGCCCGGCTACCAGATAAAATAGAATCTCCGGTCATAAACGTTTGTTCCAAACAAGCACCATCTACGTGCAATGTCAAATAAGTCCACATGCAAGAAACACACCATTATCAGTCACTGAAGGATGGTGAAGTATATGATCCGAAATCAAAGGAGGGGCGACTTGTATCAGAGCCTAAATTGTGAAAATCTGGTGTACAGAACGCTACATATGATAGTGGGAGCCCAAGATTCATTTGTGGAACTATGTAGGAGATAAGTCTCCAGAGAACTCCCTCTATCTACAATTGAGGGATGGGAGGAAGGTGGTTACTAAACAAAGAGCTTTGGAGAGATGAGTATAGAACATCGAAGGCATAAACCTGACTTGAACAGTTAAAACTTTGTCAGTAGATCCCCCCTACGATGCAGGCTGGACCTGATCTGGTTTCCTAAACTGTCTGTATCTTTGGTGCGTTCTGTGTGTTTTTTGCTTGTCCCTGTAGGATGTATCCCAGAGGTGTCACATCATGCAGGTCACTCTTTTGAAGTTGCGTTATGTTTTTTCATTTTTCGATATCTGAAACGCAGGAGCAATCAACCTATAGAGACAACAAATAGAATAAGGGTTTCAGGGGGGTCAGTGGTGGATGGGGGCTAATGGGGAGATGAGGTCAAGGAGTCCATGTAGAAAAAGAATCCTTGAAAACTGATTGCGGTAGAAATTGTACAATTCTGCTTTACATGTTTTTACTACAGAATGATATGATATATATTAATAAATAAATATTTAAAAGTTAATAGAATAGGATTAAAAGAACTATATTTATTAAAATAAATGAAGAAAAAATATTTTATTAAGTCCATGTTTTATTTTATATGTATTTATATTTCCATATATACTATCAACATATATCTAAATGTTATATTACTTATGTATTTATATATTTTATTTGTGTATATTTATATTTCAAGATCACACAGAAACAAAAGTTACTTTTGTTGGGTATGATTTTTTTTTTAAATGTTTTCCCCATTATGATCAGCAAAGAGGTGAGATTAACAAGTGATGGCTGATGACTGATTGAAACAGAAGGGGAAATCTTGGCCAGAGACGGCAAAGGTATACACACATAAGAACAATGAAGAATTATAGTAGAAAATTAATGAGAAAGAACAAAGCATGATTTGGGGTCGTGGTAAGGGGAGATTGGTTACTAAAATACAGTTAGCAATCAGTTTGATTATATCACATCTTTGCTGCTTTTAAGTCTTTCTTAAGTGTGTGCCTTTCTGAGATTTAACTCTCAAGTGAGGTATAGCATACCAGACAAGACCACACAAGGCCAAGTAACTCTTATCTAGAAAAGAAGACCAGAAACATAGTTCTTCGCATTGCAATCAAGATTTCTTGTCTATTCCCAGTGGATAGGAAATTGACAAGCCAGAGACTTTTCACAATTTACCCCAAATCATTTAATCGGGGGTGAGATGAGACCAAAACCAAGGCTTCGCAACTAAAGTTTTACTTCGTTTCATTTTACTGGTTCTTTGCACTCTGTTGTGGCAATTTTCCAGATGAAGTGGCTGAATAAAAAGGGGCCCACCCTTTTGACTAGGTGAGATAAAATAAGTGAAAATTAGTCATTTTCCAAAAAGCGGGATTTTAGTCTAAGTGGGCGTGTCCATCTCAAGAAGAAAGGCAAAGCAAAGCATAGAGGAGCAAAGGGAAACCTTGGACGAAAGACCAGACGTAGGCGTGACGAAAGGCAAGGGGATTTGCAGCGCTTCAAACCCCCGGGCCCTCGCCCGGCCGGCCGCCCGCGGGAAGGGGGCGGGGCGAAGGGCGGGCGCGCGCGCACTACAAGTCCCAGAAGCCCCTACGTCCTGGGGCCGCAGGACTCCGCGAGACGCCCGCCGGGAGCCTGCTGCGGCGGCCAAGATGTCGCTGCTCAAGAAAAGAAAGCTCGAGTCGGGGGGCGGCGAAAGAGGGGTGACGAACGAAGAGGAAGATGGCGGAGGGCGGAAGGCGGCCCCGCAGAGCCCCGGGAGTAGGAAGCAGGAGCGCGATCAGCTGTACTACGATTGCTACTCGGACGTGACGGTCCACGAGGAGATGATCGCGGACCGCGTCCGCACCGACGCCTACCGCTTGGGCATTCAGCGGAACTGCCCAGCCTTGCGGGGCAAGACGGTGCTGGACGTGGGGGCGGGCACGGGCATTCTGAGCATCTTCTGCGCCCAGGCCGGGGCCCGGCGCGTGTACGCCGTGGAGGCCAGCGCCATCTGGCAACAGGCCCGGGAGGTGGTGCGGCTCAACGGGCTGGAGGACCAGGTGCACGTCCTGCCGGGGCCGGTGGAGACGGTGGAGTTACCGGAGCAGGTGGATGCCATCGTGAGCGAGTGGATGGGCTATGGGCTGCTGCACGAATCCATGCTGAGTTCGGTGCTCCACGCGCGGGCCAAGTGGCTCAAGGAGGGCGGCCTTCTGCTGCCGGCTTCCGCCGAGCTCTTCGTGGCGCCGATCAGCGACCAGATGCTGGAATGGCGCGTGGGCTTCTGGAGCCAGGTGAAGCAGCAGTACGGCGTGGACATGAGCTGCCTGGAGAGCTTCGCCACGCGCTGCCTCATGAGCCACTCCGAGATCGTGGTGCAGGGCCTGTCGGGCGAGGACGTGCTGGCGCGGCCACAGCGCTTTGCTCGGCTGGACCTGGCGCGCCCGGGCCTGGAGCAGGAGTTGGAGGCCGGGGTGCGCGGGCGCTTCCGCTGCAGCAGCTTTGGCTCCGCGCCCATGCACGGCTTCGCGGTCTGGTTCCAGGTGACCTTCCCCGGGGGGGACTCGGAGAAACCCCTGGTGCTCTCCACCTCGCCTTTCCACCCTGCCACCCACTGGAAGCAGGCGCTCCTCTACTTGAACGAGCCGGTGCAGGTGGAGCAGGACACGGACATTTCCGGGGAGATCACGATGCTGCCCTCCCAGGACAACCCCCGCCGCCTGCGCGTGCTGCTGCGCTACAAAGTGGGGGACCAGGAGGAGAAAACCAAAGACTTTGCCATGGAGGACTGAGCCCCGCCTTTCCCCCCAGCCCCCTCCCAAGGCTGCCTGACCTGAGTGGAGAAGCCTGGGGTGGGGTCCGAGGAGACGAGATCCCACGTGCAAGTAGGGGGCAAATCTGTGCCTTTTCTCTCTGGTCTCCCAGGGAGGGAACACGACTAATGTCCCCGAGGAGATTCTGCGGGCAGTGTTTCTTTTAAAAGCGGTTTCCCCACAGCTGCAGCGTGGTTATTGATGACTTTCAAACCCCCCAAAGCGTGTGGTACTAAGCACTTTTACTTGAGTTTCTTTTCTTTTTACCCCCCTCTCCCCATGAAGTAACAGAACCAAGTCTCTAACACCTCTCACACCTTATCTAAATCTGGGGCCCCAGAAGAAGTGTTAATGGGCTTTCTTTTCTGAACTTCGGCTGTTGCCTCTTAGGGCCTCACAGGCCGGCAGTACTTCTGCCAGCCATGTTTTTAAAATAAAGTTTCAGACTGGTAATAAGGCGTTGAGTAAGGAACAGGTGGCGTAGGCAAGTTCTCATTACTCTTCCAGCTTCTGTAGGGTGCAACAGTGGACTAATACATTAAACCAAATACAGACGCCCTGGGAACTCCAGAAGTGGAGAGGGGAGAGGCGTGAAGACTGAAGTAGTATAGATTGCTAATTCTTGTTTGAACTGTTAACACTTAACCCCCAGACTGTTTCCTGGAAGTTCAACATTTAGAATTTGCCCAATTAGGAAACAGCCTGATAGCAATTTCTGATCCTCCCCTAAGGACTTACATACTCATTGGCATGTATAAATTTAAACTCACAAAATTAAGGAAAATATCTTCCCTGCTAGAACAGTGCGCTCATTCTCAGTCTGCACCCCATTTTTAAAGGGATCATGTGACTTGCCCTACTTCTAGTGAAATATAGTTAAAGCTCCTATTTTGGGTTCTTTCCCACCCCCCCACTCTTTTTAGCCCAGCCAAATGTGAAAGTTGTGAATTTAGGAAAATCACTTGTAATGAAGTGTGAGTCATGTTACCACATTTATTTCACTGATGCTTCCCTCCTTATTCCTGTGGCAAATAAAACATTGGCATTCTCACTATTTTTATAGATGATGGAAGAAGTCTTTGTACTGTGTTATGTTTTTGCCTTTTTAATATTGCCAGTTCTTATGGAAAGTGTTACATTCCCTTCAAAAGATAGCTGCTGGGTAATTCAAACTGTTTAATGTATAGTTTTAATAACTAACAGCTTTTGTATGCACATAGAAAGTAGGTATGAACATTTGGTCTTTTTAAATAACTTACTGTGACTGAGTTTTCTCAGTTTAATTTACTTTTATTGCATATTAAAGTATTGATTATAGCTTAAGTGTTAAAATTTGGTGCATAACACATGGGTTCTGCCATTATAAAGAGACCCATGCATGTATAAAATTTGAATAATATAGTTAAAATGGTTACCATTTTGATGTCAAAGTACTTATATAAAATAGCCTACAATGGAAAACTAGGCTTGGTTTAAGCTACTTACAGATCCTTACTTTAGGGTCAGCTATATTTTAAATGGAATGTCTATCCATCATTTAAAATTCTAGTGTTTTGTTTTTTGATGTGTTTATTTGCTATAACAATCCCTTTGCTGTTAGGGCAATTGAAAGTATTCCTCCAAATTTTATTCATAACACCAGAAAAATTATAACAAAAGAAAACCCCAGATAAAACTTTAGGTAACTACTCATAAAGGATGTTTGATAATTAAGCAAAGCAAGCTGTAAGACTCTTGGTAACTCTTCCTTGAAAGAAAGGTTAATTAAGAAAATGCAGAATGTATAAAGTCCAGAGACTGCCTAGCAAGGTGGTTTAAAGCATGGAATATGGGATTGGAAAGTCCGTCTGAGACCCTTGCCTCCACCATGCTTGTGCCATTGTGGGCAAACTATCTTACACTCATTCTTCCATGTTCTCATTTGCAAAAATGGAGCTACCCATCGTACCTACCCCATAGAAATGTGAGGATGCCCCAAGTTATATGTATAAGGATTCAGTGTCTAGTACATAAAGTGATTTCAATAAATACTCTGATGGAGAAGGTATGTACAGGCCTGAATCCATTTGATAAAGATGGGATCTTTGACGTTCTGGTTTTCGTTACAGGTCTGGATGGTCTGGCAGTGCTGGCATGGCTGTGTCCGGAGCACTGGCCAACATGGAACACCAGATGACCCAAGGAAGCCCACGACTTTAAAGTGAGGACAGGTCCAGCAATATGAGCGTGTGAGCTGCAGCAATATCCAGATGCCAGTCAGTCTGGTCTGTGTGTGGCCTCATGGTGGTGGCCCGAGGCCATGATGGGCCCCGGCAGGCATTCCTGTGTGAGAGAAAGGAACCCTGAGGACGTCCTTGCTGATTTTATTAATTCATTGGACCAATGTCTGTTTCATTTAGTATGAGGTGTGCTTATACTAAGCACTTAAAGCTACAAGCCATTAAAACCTAGTTTCTGCCTTTAAATGAATTTGTTTATTAAAAATGCTAGTAAATAAAATGCATAAACAATAATGGGCTAAGGGCCGAGGTCTGGGTAGTCAGGAAGGCAATAATTCACTATACACTAATAAAAATGTACACAGCTACCGAGGGTTGCTCATTCTTGACCATTAAATCTCGGGACACTGGTTTTTCAATTCATAACCCTATGCAAAATCACTTTATATTAATACTGCCTCCTTACATACCTTCAAAATGGGTGACCAGTTTTTATAGTTTGATAAATGAAGGAAAAGTCCTTAGCATAAGAAGTCTTAGCATCTATCCTGAAGATGTCAAAGAACCACCATCAGTATGTAGGATCTCAAGCAGTCCTCAAATCCCACCTTGTGTCCATGTGCCTAACACAAAAGGTAACACTCGTTTCTGAAGCGCTCAACAAAATTTAAATCCTCAATAGAGTAGCAATGATAGATGAACTATTTGCCATACTAGCTATAGGTCTGATACGGGAGAGCAGAAAGGCATCTGCTGAGGTTTAACGCATACCGGCCAGAGCGGGAGTTGAAAAGGTAAAGGTGGAAAGCAAACACGATGGCCTAGCACTTTGCTTATGACCATCACATTTCTTACACTTCTGAGCTCCTCAATGCAGAAGAAAGAAGAATCTTGGGAGGTACAGTCTTCTCTCGTCCTGCATCCCCTTTTTCCATGCTTATATTTATATTCACTCTTAGTGGTTTAATAAAGTACGTAACAAGTTCTGCAGAAATCAGTAAATCCTACATTCAAAGAACCAGAATATGCCAAACTCAATACCAGACTCACTGCCATCAAGTTGATTCCAACTCGGTGACCCTGTCACACACTGGGTTTCTCTTTACAGTAGAAAGCCTGGTCTTGCTCCCAGGAGGGGAAATAAAATTACCTAAGTGACAGTACATGAATGGGTTACATTAATATCTGCTGCGTTCTTTAGCTTGAAAAGATGTAATTCCAGGGAAGTCTTAACTTATGTTGAAGCGAGATTGAGAACCCTTAGCAATTTTATCCATACAACTTTTGCAAGGTGCACATAATTATAAGAATAGAAATAATTTAAAATTTTTAAAAAATCCTCACTGATGTTAGTTCTAAAAATAAATTTAGGTCCTCTAACTGATTTGTTTCAAAGTACCATATATACTCGAGTATCAGCCGACCCGAATATAAGCCAAGGCACCTAATTTTACCACAAAAACTGGGAAAACTTATTGACTCAGGTATAAGCCTACGAGTTCAGCAGCTACTGGTAAATTCCAAAATAAAAATAGATACCAATAACGTTGCATTAATTGAGGTGTTGGTAGGTTAGATGTTTTTTAATATTTCAAAGAAAAACAGTAAACTAGCTCTGTAAGTGGAAAAGAGGGTCAGCAAAAACAATATGGTATCAGCAATAACTATAAACGCTGTGTTACTACATGTGCTGCATTACTACATATGCAGCTTACCACATGTACACAAGGCAGCTCGTATAGTTTGAGGCCTAATGCAGGCTGATGAGCAATGCTTGGGTGGAGCAAGGGTGCGTGACCCAGCACAGGTAAGACTGTAAAGGCTCCGTCATTGGTCACAGCCCTGGAGAAGAGCGGGAGAAGAAGAGCAGCCGCATCCAACATTCATCTGACAAGGATGCAGTGCGCCCCAGGTACCAGCACACAGAAGTGGGCAGGTTCTTGCCCAGTATGGCACGGACAACACAGAGGCTGCCAGGGTGCAGGAGAGAAGAAGAGCGGTGATATCAGCAGTCATCGGACCACCCACAGAGGCCGCAGGCACCTGTAGTTGATGGGGAGAGAAAAGAGAACACCCACACTGCACCAGAGAACAGGTAAGTGGGGACACTCACTTGAGTATAAGCTGAGGGGGTTTTTTTCAGCATAACAAATGTGCTGAAAAGCTAGGCTTATACACAAATATATACAGTAGTTCATTCCAATTTGACCCTCTGCTGAGAATTTGCCTTTTTACCCAATATAGAGCGGACTAGAACCTACATTTTTAACAAGATCCCCAGGTGATTCTTAAGTAGAAAAAGACATTTGAGACATTCAAGGATCGTAGACTTAACTAAATACAACTGTAAGAGAATATTAATAAAAATTAGGACATGATCAGTAACATTGAAATTGTGCTCTTTAATAACCCATAATAATTATTGATATTAATAACTAAGGGAAGACTAGTGAAGATTTCAGTTAATTGAGCTTGGTTTTTAACCTACAAACACTTAAGGCTGACAGAAGATCAGAGAGCTGTGAGAACTTTTTTTTGCTTCTCACCAAACTGCTTGATGCCCAGGAAAAAAACACTAAAAGAAAATAGGGGAAAGTGAAAATAAAATAATTAACTGAGGGGGAAAAAAAGGTAGGTTGGGAAGAAATTCATCCCACACTTTTTAAATGCTACAGATTTTTCTGAAGCAGTGTGATTCATGTGTTGGTGAAAACTTACATCCTGTAAATCTTGCACTATAAATGACAAACTTAAGGGAAATGGTGGGCATACTATGTTAGACTGCATTGGCTAACGAAATAAATCTAGCAACACTTGTATGTGTAAGAAGGAGCTTTATAGCAAGAAGTAATTATATATCAAGAAAACATCCCAACCCAGTCCATAAGTCCCTCTTCAGACTCCCACAGCCACCTGCAATGATGCAGACTGCAGGAAGATCACAGGCTGGTGCATGACAATTTGTGTGGATCCAAAGTTGGTGGGAACATGGCAGGGCTCCAGCAGCTCTGTGGGTGGCTAGCAAGCAGGAAGTCAGGGCAGAGAGAGCTGGGGGTTCATAAGACCCTCCTTATGAAAAGGCCACGCCTACAAGGAGGCACAATCAGGTTGTAACCTGATATCTTGGCTACCACCCCTACAGGTTCATATACCTTCAAGTTGACATAGAATTATGTAACTACTACACATACTATCAGACGCATAAGGAAAAAATTGAAGCCTTTGAAGCATGGTATTGGCAAAGAATACTGAATTGTCACAGACTGCCAGTAGAAAAACTGTGTCTCAGAAGAAACACAATCAGCCAGCATGCTCCTTAAAAGCTAAAATGGCAAGACTTAATTGCAGTACTTTTGACATGTTACCAGGAGGGACCAATCCCTGGAGATGGATATGGCTGGTAAAATAAAAGGTCATAGGTAAAAGAAGGCCTTCATAGTCGCTGATTTGACATCGTCACTGTAACAATGGATTTTTATCTTAGGATGGGTATTCTAGAGAAGCAAGATCAATGGATCTTATATCTGTATATAAGATGATATAGAGAGGGAGAGACTTGTCTCAAGGAAATACATCATGGGTTGTAGAGGCTGGAAAATCCTAAATCGTAATCCTTGGGTTGAATGGAAAGCTGCCGGCTCATGGTCCTTGGCTTCTCAAGCACTTGGCTCCTTGGTGTCTGCCTTGTTATCCAGCTCTTTTAGGGCTGTCCAAAGGGTGCACCACCTCACCATAAGCCTCAGCAGCAAGGAGCTCAGCTCTAGCTTCATGGTCAGCAAATTTCACTCCGTAATTAAGTACCTGGAAGCAGCCCACTCAGCAAACAAGCCTCTTGCCCAGAGGCACACAGCTTTACTCCTGATACGTGAATCAGTCAACTTCTGTGTTATACTGACGATTTCCTTACTTACCAGCTGAATTTGATTATTCATTTTATAGAAACATGCATTATAGAAGAATGGTCTATGCTTTGCTCATTTTCCAGAAATTAATAAGTACATTGAGATTCATTCTGTGGGGTAGTGATTATGCAGTAGGCTGCTCACCGCAAGGTCAGCAATGGGAAAGGACCAGGCCCTCCGCAATAGGAAGATGGGGTTTTCTATGCCCATCGGAGGTAAAGGTTCTGAAAGGCGCAGGGCAAACGATCTTGTTCTTTATGCTTGTTCTGAGTCGGATTGACGAGATGGCAGTGAGATTTTTGCTTTGTTTTTGGTCGCTTTTCAGTGGCATCGTGGGTTGTGTGTGGGGCTGCTAAGTGCAAAGTCAGCAGTGAGAAGCTACCAGCCGCCACACAGGAAGCAGATGAGACGTTCTTCTTCTATAGAAATTTACTGTCTTGAAAACCGCCAAGGGCAGTTCTACTCTCTTCCATAGAGTAGCTATGATTGGTTTGGTTGTATTACTTCTCAGTAAACCACAATTTAATAGAAAATTATTTGTTTTTTTATTATTTGGGGCACAAGGGAACTCAAAATATAAGGGGAACAGAAATTTTAACCTATGTAGCATCAAGTTAATTCTGACTCAAAACAACCCTATAGGGCACAGTAGAACTACCCCTGTGAGTTTGAGAGCCTGTAACTATTTATGGGAGTAGAAAGTCCCTCCTTTCTACTGTGGTTTTGAACTACTGTTCTTGCAGTTAACAGCCCCCCAAATCATCACTAACCCACCAGGGCTTCTCTATAGCCACCTATAATCCCAAATTCCACTTCTCTTCAAAGGAACTTGCAAATAATGAAAGGAAAAGATCTGCAAACTCAATGGAGTTATGAATCAACTTAATTTCTGGAAACTGAGCAAAGTAAAGAATGTCTGCTGTAAGGCATCTCTATAAAATGAAAGAACCAACTGGGACTATCACCCTGTACAGGAGCAGACAGCCTCATCTTTGTCCCAAGAAGCTGCTGGTGAGATTGAACCACAAACCTTGTGGTTAACACCCAACACTTAAACCACCAGGGAGCCTTCACTTACGTAGAGAAGGAATATATTTTCCATATGGCTGCCTATATTCAGGAGGTAATTGAATAGATGGGCTTGGGGCCAATAATTCTGTTTTCTGTTGTCCCATTCATCCCAGCCAAGGACAGCTAAAAGACCTATCAGGTCAAAAAGATCTGAATTTAGTGAGAAGTACAAAAATAAATATTAGGGTCTTGCACATACACTTTGACATTTCACCTAAATCATCATTTCCTTAGGATAAATAATTTGTCTTAAATTATGGATTCATAAAGTAACTAGTGATATCGGGGGCAAAAATTGTGACCCCCAAACTGTTGCTTATTTTGTATTTCACATTTTCGCTTTATCCCTAATTGAATTTTATATTCTAAACCCTGCCAAGGACTTTCCTAGGCAT